CCCAGAAATAATTACACGGAAACTGTATTCTTTCAAACACTGCCTGGCCCGGATAGTTCCAGTTCCTTATGGCTAGCTCTTACATATTGTTCTAACCCATTTCTAATATTCTGTGTAGCCCACGAGCTGGCTTACCAGGGAGGATCTTAACCTGCGTCTGTCTGGAACGGGAGAACCATGGCGACTCCCCACCAAGACTCCTTCTCCCAGAATTCTCCTGTTTTCTCCACCCACCTAAGGGTGGGCCTTATCAAGGGGCCTAGGCAGTTTTTTTATTAATAAGAAATCACTCCCACATCATGTCCCTATGAAAGGACCCAGATATTCTTCACTTGTACTTGTGATTCATTGATTCTTCCTCCATGTGGCTTCTTTCATTTGAACTGAGAACTGGACAATCAGTATAAACTCATAATGAATGAATCTCTAGCATTAATTGTTGTCTATGTGCTGCAAGTGCAAGTTACCACAATAAAATAATAAAGTCAGGTTGAGTTGTATAAGTGAAATTTACTTAGTCATATTTCTAGAACAGTGGTTTTCAACCTTCCTAATGCTATGACCCTTTAATACAATTCCTCATGTTGTAGTGACCCCAACCACAAAATTATTTCATTGTGACTTTGTAACTGCAGTTTTGCTACTATTGTGAATTGTAAAGTAAATATATGATATGCTATCATTTGGGGTGGGAACCCACTGATTGAGAACCACTATTGTAGAAATTGGAAAGGACACGCTAAAGTTCTCCCCTATATGATTCATGCAGAGAGACCTCTCTTTGACTTGTATGTGACCTCTTCATCCCAGTGTCTTCACAAAGTGAAGAGAGGTAGGCCTAGTGTCTGTCTCTTTCATTTTCTGGTAAGGACATGAATATGACCAGGAGAACTCCAACCTCATTACCTCATCTGAATATAATTACCTCTGAAGGCCCATCTCCAGAGACATCACATCGAGAGGAGGGGTAGTATAGAAATTGTTAGTACATGCGAGTTTCAATGCATGAATGAAGAGGGGACAGAATTCATGTGACATACATAAGTATATGAAACCCAGGACCTTCAGGTAACCCCAAATCAATAGCCTGTTGTTAGTGATCCAAGTCACTCTCCACCCCATGCTACTGCATGGTTCAGCACGGACATGGTAAACAGAACTCCTAAGAACTTTGTGTGGGAAGAAAAAGAAAGTCTTCCTGTGGTAGATACAATTCAGGAGATGGAGTTGAGAAACAGTCTGCTTCACCTTACCAGGCTGTCAAGAGTCTACCATCTCAGTTAACTTCGTAATTTACTAACATGTTAGTGAAAAAATTCTCTTCCATGGAATTAGATGTGGTGATTAGATGTGCAGGAGTTTGTTCTATAAGTACCACCAAGTGCTAAGGTGCCTGGAAAAAAGAGGAAAGCTTCAGTTTGAGTTGTTGGTGGAAAGAGATGGTTTGAACACTTCCTTAACTTCTGGGGCTATTGATTTAGAACAAGCATTAGGTACCCAGAGGGACATGGGAGAAAAGGTGTTTATAGGAGTCATTAATGAACCCACAGGGGAGATTGAATTATTTCTCTAATAACATGGTCCATTTATTTTTAAGGTCATTTGTGGGTTCCTTATATCTTCTACTATGTGCTGGAAAGAAAGGAAAAGAAATATCTCTGTCCTTCCCCCCTTTGGATTTGGAGAAGTTTTGCCCTGAGGAAGACATAAAGACTCCAGAGAAGCACATTGGTTCTGTATATGTGAAGATGGTATTTAATATGTGATCATATCGAATAGAAAAATTCTGATATTGTCATTTATTAGTATATAAAGAGTTCTCACAGATTAACAAAATGATAAAAGAGATAAATGGACCATTTACACACAACAAAAGTTCAAGAACTGGAGAAACCTGGCCAACAGGCATCATTTAAAGTAATGGTGAGCTCATTAACAACACTTTTTGTGGAGTTATAAATTGTCAGAACCTTTTTGAAGGACATTTTGAGTGCATGCGTGTATATATATGCCCAGTTTTTTCAATTTGGCTCTTAATGGAATAACTGAGGATGCACAAAAAGACTTGTTTACATAAACAATTGTAGAGGTGAAAAATTTGGAAACACCTAAGTACCTCCAAATTGGAAAGTGATCAAATAAATGATGGTATTAGCTTATATTAGAAAACAGTGTCTCCATTAAAAATTGGGTTTTGATATCATAATATGAAAATAAGAAACTCACACATAAAGTTGTGTATAAGCCTGGGTAGCAGGGTAACATAATCTTTCCTTTCTTCTCTCTGGGCTTTTATGTCTTTTCCAAATTTTCCAAATTTCATACAGTGAGTATGTGCTGCTTTTGTAATTAGAAAAAAAAACAACAGCAGCACAGAAACTATTAAAAAAGACATTCAGGCTTGTTTCTGAATGCTAATCTTTGATTTAATTTTTTTCTCTTCAAATTTAAACAGTCATTTCCTTTGGAAATGAGCAGAAGCGTTTTAACTGTCTGGTGGGAAAAATTAGATAAAGGAATTTTTCTGGGGTATATGGGGGGGATATCTTAATATAAAATTGTTCCACTAGAAAGCATATATTCTACACTGGTCCTTCTTTGAAAGATTTTATATTACCAGTTTTTCAAAACTGTTTTATTTAGATATAATTCACATCTATAAAATTCACTCATTTAACGTATTCAAGTGGGCTTTTTTTTGTATATTGACAGGCTTATGTCAGTTTTGAAATCCTAAAGATAAAACCTGGCCCCACCTTCCCCCCTGATTCTGATAGCCCCAAATCAATTTTGTGTATACATAGATTTATCTGTCATGGATATTTATGATAAATAAAATTTCACAGCGTGAAATCTTTCACTAAGCTGTATTCAAGCTTCATCAATACCAACATGTAGAATGGCTCTCAGCCATTACTCTTTATGGCTGAGGAATATTTTACGGTATGCATAATGAATCTGTGTCTATGTGTAACTCATAGTTTGCTTATCCATTATTAGTTGATAGGCATTTCAGTTGCTCCCTCTTTTTGAGTTTCATGAATAATGCTAGCATGAACATTTACATGCAAGATTGTACCTGCAAATATGTTTTCACTTTGACAATATGTACTTGGAATTGCTAGATCATTTGGTAACTCTATGATTAGCCTTTGAGGAGGTGCCAGACTGTTTTAAAAGTGATTACACTGTTTTACATTCCCACATGTTATCTTTCGTGTAAGAATTCTAACATATATGTGAAGAGATAGGTAACAGGATGATTGTTTGTAATAGCAGAAGTTAAAACAATCAAATGCTCGTGAATAGAATACCAATTGCTAATTGTGGTAATTTAGATTATGGACTACTGTGTAGCTACTGTAAACAATGACTATCTTTATATCTATCCCCGTCTCAGAAAGAGAGTTAGCCAAGAAATACTAAGTTGGGAAACCAAGCTGTAAACAGTGAACTTGATATTATTTACTTGAATCAAATATAATTATTATACATCTGTATGATATTTATAGAAAATTTCTGGAAGAGTATTAAATAAATTATTAATACTGGCTACTAGAGGAGTGTAGGCCTGGGGTATATTGGTTGTACTCTAAAGTGAAATCTGTGGAGAAAAGTTTCTTTTCAAATTAAAGACTTTTGTGTATTTTTTTTTTTTAAAGAAAGGGTTTCTCTGTGCAACATTCCTGGTTGTCATGGAACTCACTTTGTAGACCAGGCTGTCCTTGAATTTACTGAGATCTGCCTGCCTCTCCCTCTCAAGTGCTGGGGTTAAAGGCGTGCTCCACTACTGCCCAGCTTGTGTCATAATTTTTCAAGTGCTATATATTACTTTATAATAAGAATTTCATAAGAAAGTCTGGAACAGTAAAACTAACTGTGTCTTTCCTATAGACTGTTCAATTTTCACCATTCCTACACGTTCGGGGTGAAGGAAGTTCATAGTTAACAGTCTTTACAATATCTAATTATAGTGCACGGTTTTCTTATTTATTATTTTACTTTCTTTTTATTTATTCCATGTGTCTTTTACATCATGTGTCTTCATCCCAGTCATTTCCTCATCCCTTTGAATCTGTCCTCTGTCTCTGCATTTACCCCCCAAATAAAACAAAATTTTGGAAAAAAAAAGAAAAAAAAATTAAAAAATCTCATCAAAGAATTGAAGTGTGACATAGTGAGTCACACAGTAAACACTTTTGTCCATATATCTTTACTTGCATGTGTTCATTGCTAATAGTCATTTGGTCTGATTCGATGCCTTCAGTTTCTATTATGCTATTGATGCTGGGACTCCTCTTGGATATGCTGTTGTTGCCCTGGATTGTAGAGATCCTGCAGCTTTGGGTCTGCAGGTCAGGTCCCTTCACATGCTCCAGCAGATCACAGATGGGGTGGATGTAGGGGTCGACCAAGTCATAACCCTGGTTCTGGGCCTGGGTAACTCCAGAGTTGGTCTATCCGCCAGTTCTCCCCTGTCCTCCCCATCAGGGTGAGTGCTCCTGCGTTGTCCTAAGTCACCTTTTGAAACAATGAGTAAGGGTGGAGCCAATTCTCCTGTTTTCATGCCCTCAGGATCAGCTCTCCCAAACCTATACCACCAGGGCCAGTTCTGTTGTGTTGCATAGGAGAGGTGCAGGGGCTACTCTTATGAGTGCTGCAACTGATGAGGGACAGAGGCAGCCCTCCTGTTTTGATCCTACGGTCAGGTCCTCTACCCGTTTCAGGCATTGGTGGACAGAGGTGGGGAAGAGAGCATCTCTTCTCTGCCCACGCTGCCACATGGCAGATGAGTGATGGCTCCATCTCTCCATTGCTCACAACATTGGGGCTGGGTCACCTTCACTTTCGCCAACAGGTTTGGCTCTTATTATGTTACCCAGATGAGGTGCAGGGCCTGCTCTCCCAAGAGTTGCTGTTGGTGGGGAGCAGGGATGGCTCTTCTGCTCTTGTGACTTCAGGGCCAGTTTTCCCACATGCCTCAGGAATTGATGGGTGGGGGTGGAGGGCACCTCTCTCCAGTCCATGCTGCCATGTGGCACATGAGAGGTGGGGATAAGTCTCCTGTGCTGCCTCATCCACACCTCTGCCAACAGGGTTGGCTCTATTGTGCTGCCATGGTGAGGTGCAGGGCCTGCTCTCCAGAAAATTACAACTGATTGGCGGGCAGGGATAACTCTTTGGCTCCTGTGACCTCAAGGCCAGTTCTTGCATTTGCCTCAGGCATTAATGGGGGAGGGAGAGGGCATCTTTCCCCTACCTATAATGCCACATGACAGATGAGTAATGGAGAGAGCTCT